AGGTCAGTGATATCCAGTATTGATCTGAGGTATTTAAATTTCGGTAAAAGACTTCTCAGCGTATTTGCCACATTTGAAATATGACTGTCCCATCTCAGATGGGGATCGATCGTGATTCCTAGATATTTTATTTTAGTTGTTGATTTTATCTCAAACGTTTCTTCATCGTTTTGAATCTGGAGAGTATTGAAGTTGGGTAGACCATTTCTATAACTGCAGAACGGCATGAAAAAAGTTTTATCAAAGTTGATGGTCAAAATTTTGTGATTGAACCAATTTATAATGTTTTTTAAATCATTCTCTGCTATCTCTTTCAGATTGACCCATGTATCACTTGTATACAAAATCGCAGTATCATCGGCAAAACTTATTACTTTTCCCGTTGTATTCATAGTGAGGAGGCTATTTATATAAATAGAAAATAGTAAGGGACCTAGTACAGTACCCTGAGGCACGCCACAATTCAGAAGTCTCTCTCTGCTGAACTTCCCTTCAATCTTAACTACCTGTATTCTATTTTTCAAGTAATTCCCGATTAGTTCCAGAGTTGCACCTCTTATTCCTACATCATCCAAGGCCCCCAATAGCTGCTCGTGATTGACGGTATCGAAAGCCTTAGCCAGATCCAGGAATACGCAAAGGGTGGGATTGCCATCATCTACATTTTTGTAAATATTACCTAGGAGTGTAGCCGTTGCGTCACTTGTGGACATTGATTCTCGAAATCCAAATTGGTTGTTAGATATAATGTTATATTTATCAATAAATTTTGATAATCTATTTTTCAGACACTTTTCGAAAACTTTCGTAATTCCAGATATTACAGATATTGGTCTGTAATTTGACATTATTTTTTTGTCTCCTTTTTTAAAAATTGGTGTGACAACTGCCATTTTGAACTCATCTGGGCAATCTCCAGACTTGAATATATTATTGATTAGGAATGCTAAAGGTTCCGCAATGAAATTAGAAATTGACTTTAATGTTTCTGTTTTGATTTGGTCAATGCCAGGTGATTTTTTCAATTTTAGGGTATCTATAATACTTATTATTTCTTGCTTGTCTGTGGGTGCAAGATAGAACGAGTTTGGCAGTGAATATCTTATCGGTTCTTCCGACTTGGGTTTTTTAATTTTTTCCGCAAGACTCTCGCCTACTCTGACAAAATAATCATTGAAGATTTCGGCAATATCTTTTTTATTTTTTATTATCTCCCCGTCTTCAGTGACAATTTCTGTTATATCATCATGCGTTTGATTCGACCCAGTTAGGTCTGAAACAACTTTCCATAAATTTTTGGAGCTGTTTTTGTTTTTATTAATTTGATTTTTATAAAAAAGATATTTAGCCTTTTTTATCAATTTGTCAGTTAGTTCGCGGTATTCTATGTACGTATCTCTAATAGCAGTATTTTCAGGGTTCTTTTTATAGTTCCGGTATAATTGATTTTTTTTATTTATTGATTTAACTAAAGCATCAGTTATCCATATCTTACGTTTTTTTTCGATTTTTGGTAGCCTTATGGTGCGAGTGTTTCTCTCAACTAGCTCAGTTAATGATTTCAGGAAGTATTTAGCTTGTTGTTTCACATTTCTTAGCTGATAGTAGTTACTCCAGTCGTAATTTCGAAGTTCTTGCTTCATTTTGTCATAATTTATATACTTTTTAACACGATTTTCTGGAACTGAGGATATATCATTCATCAGTACTGACAAGGACAGAATAGTGCCCTTGTGATCAGTTATATCTGTATCAATTACGCCGGATTTACAGTTTTCATCGATGTTTTTAGCATTTTTATGTTTAATGAAAATATGGTCAATACAGCTTTTTGAATTACCTTGTTCTCGAGTAGAAGCATTTATCATTGATATGAAATTATATTCGCTGAAATTATCCAAATATTCATTGGTCACGTCATTATCATCATATAAATTAATATTTATGTCACCTACTATAATGTGATATTCACATGTAATGTTTTTTGTTTGGTGTATGTATTGTCTCAAACTAGTTGTAAAGCATTCTGGATCTGTTGAAGGAGGCCTGTATATGGCGGTTATTGTAATAGTTTTGCCGAGGTCTAAGCGAATGATTGTTTGTATAGCTCTACATTGATCAATGGATACTATTTGTGACGTACATTTGTAGTGGTTTTTTATGTATATTATCACTCCATCGTTCTTGTTGATGTCACCTTCATTGTATATAACATTGTAACTAGTTAATCTAAATAGATTTATATCATCAACTTTAAACGTTTCAGTTAGGGCGATATAATCGAAATTTGATTCAACTTCATTTAGATATATTTTAAACTCATCAAAATTTTTCCAAACGCTTCTGATATTCTGGTGATAAATTTTGAAATTATTTTCACTTTTCATATCTATATTGTTATTTAATGCTGTTACATCGGGAAATTTCAGTGTTTCGAATGGAGTATAATTGATATCGCGTATATATGGATCCATTTTTTAGGTTTATAGTTCGAAAATTAAATAAAATATAATATCTACCTCTATATAGTAACAATTCTTTCACCAGTTCTTTTTTACAGCTGGGTATGTTAATTAGGACCTTTTTATCAGACGTTTTTGTTGGCTCTAGTTAATCTCCTCACAGTGTCGATAGTACTGGGACCAGACTCTGAATTTGTTCTTTTGGTGTTTTCTTCTCTCTGTCGATCAGCAGGTGAAGTTGTCGGTCTCTTTTGGCTTTGGGTGTGATTGACTTCGTTCACCCCTCTTTGGGCATTTGTTATCAAGTCTTTGTAGGTGTATCCTATACTATCGATGAATAATTTGTTGCGAAAAACATGAGCTTTTTTGTTATTTTTCCTTGCTTCCTTTGATTTCTCAACCAGAACTCTTCTTTCAGATCTTTCTTCTTGCGATAAATCCTCTACTATCGATAGTCTCTTTCCCTTGAGTTTCTTGCAACTTTTCAGTATTTCTTGCTTGGTGATGAATCTCAGAAACTTTATCAATATAATTTTTTCCTTCTCGTTGTTTCCGATTATGTATACTCTGTTTATTTCTTCTTTACTTATATTCAGTTCCAGGTTGCTATTTAGTAAATTTAGTGTGAATTCTAATAGATTTCCTTCAACATAATCTGAATTGAAGATTAAGATATTATTCTCTCTCACGGCTTTTTCCAACTGCGTATTTCGACTCTTCAGTATTTTTATTTCATTTTCCAGCTTTTCTACTTTCTCTGAACTACTCAGAACTATATCCTTCAAGTCATTTATTTGTGCGGTGAATTTCGACACTACAATTTGATTTTGTTCTGCAATATACTTCTTCAAGTCGGCCAGAGCTTCCATCTTATAGTATTCACATTTGCTTTGAGCTTTTTTAGTAGGTCGGCTCACTTACTATTTCTGATAATATCAGCTTACCCTGAGTTTTGAATTAGGTTATATACAATTTCCAGAACGGAGTTTTCTAAATTTTCAAGTATTCTACATATGGTTTGTGTTTTTGTGTATATTGAGTGCACTGTTGTTTAGATGATCATATGTTTGACGTCCAGAGTCAGCCTGTTTTATTTTATTGCACCTATATCACCTATAGATCTCACTTTATTTACGAGCGATACACACACGATTTACGAGCGATCCATTGATACTTACGATCTGAGACCTATTGAATATGTAAGATGAGAACCATCGTAATATATAACCATGCATACCAATTTCAGCAAGTTTCATCGACAAAATATTATGATTAATGCCTTGCTGAAATCTGTATAGATTGAAAGCAATCATCGAGTGAATCTGATAAAAACTGATTGAAAATCATCAGATTGGTTTCTATGGGTCTTCCAGAAAAGAATCCATGTTGTTCTTTCAGAATAATATGTTGGAGACTGTCGAAGATTAGATCATATGAAATGCTCTCAAGGATTCTACTGAAAATACAAAGTTTACTGATACCTTTATAATTAGTGATATCTCTTTTGTCTCTGGAATTCTTGTATATTGGCACAAGGCACCGTTTTCCATAGATCTGAGAATTCACCATCAGAAATGAGTTTGATATATATCATTGGAAGAGGAGTGCGAAGACTATAGGAGCATTGTTTCACAAGGTTAGCTGGAATATTGTTATCTCAACACTCCAAACTCAATATAATCATTGTCATTCAAGAAATGTGTCCATTTTGCATGTATTTTGACCTTTTTTCTGACGCAATTAAATTCGAAAAATAAATTGAGAATTTCCTGTTTTAAGTCACTACTTTTGGAACACAATCCTGTATGTATTTCCTCAAAATTTCGTGAAATTCATCGATAGCACAGTTAAAAGATATGTTATCAAGAATATCATTCCATATTATATCATTCAAGTGATTGGTTATCTCTACATAATTAGCTTTTTTTTAATTGTGAAACTCATTATGATTTTTCCATAGTGCATTGATTCGTGAAAACTCGATATGGAACTCAATAGGTGGGTGATGGAAGTCCAGATTAACTGAAGACAGGTCACTATCAATTACTTTAGAAACTCCATGATTCAAATAACAAAAAAATAAATCTTATATCTGGCCTTCCATCATGATTTTTCGATGAGTTGAACTGGAGCAATTCTCCGAGCATCAGAATGCTAGGTAATTCATTTCATGCTAACGGCAATGAGCGATCCCCCTTCATATGACTTGTTGCTTGATGATGATTCACAATCACGAAACACATTGTATTGATCTTGTGAAAAAACTTTACCCTCCAGAATACTGTCGTTCAGGAATGGTTCAGTTAGCATACAGACATTGGCGTGTATTACTGTAGAATTCAATTCACATTCTTGAGTTCTAGTTCTGAGTCCTCGTACATTCTGACAATATACCAATATGTCCATAGCAAACTTCATAACATCTGAGAAGAAAAACACAAATGAATTCAATTAATAATGAATTAAAATACATTGGACCACTCAGAGTATGAATGATTTCTACAATATTTTATAACTTTTGTGTATTAGGCTCTGGTGTTATCCTAACAGAGTGAGTAGGACTCGAGGATCCCAAATAACTTCAACACAAGATCCCTCGTCCTTCTTCATAAAAATGTTTTCGTTTTCCACCCAAAAAAACTGGAGATTTTTCGGCGTTCTGGCTGCCTCTTTTGCTTTCCTCAGAAGAGACTGATTATTTGAGGTCAGATGCTCATTTATATAAACAGATTCGATATTTCCATGTATTTTTATTCCATTTCTGGGATTGGAACTATTTTTTCGTTTCTTTTTAGCTAAACCCCTAACTCGATATCTCAAGATTCTTGGAGCTAATCCAACTACGATGTTTCTTGGCTTTTCAGGAACAGGTGTCATAGACTGTACTCGATTAGCGAATTTGACGTTGTCTTTCACCACGACTCCAAGGAAGTTCGATATTTGTTCGACGATAGAGTTTTCACTGTTATTTTTAGGAATTCCTTGTATCACAATGTTCTTCGATCTAGAGTGCTGCTCTGGTTTATTAACTCATGAATTGAGATTAGAGATTTTCTTTCTCATGTTATCGTTTTCACGCTTCAATTCGTCAAATTTTCTCATTAGGACTTTACCATAATCCAGAGATTTGTCAAAATCAGATATTTCGTCAGAACGAAATGATACTGATTTCACTAATCCATCTTTCTGCATTATGAACGATGCAATTTCATTTTTGAATTTCTTGAGCGCAGTTGACATATCGATGCCTGGATCAAAGCGAGACCTGCAAGGAAAATGATAATCGACTAGAAATCCAATGGGAAAGAAACACTCTGTTCATCACTGTGAATGCTGCGTGCATTCAACAGCCGACAGCGGGACACTTTGGGCACCTTCACATCGAGCCGGAAATTGATTTCATCAATTCAACTTGTTCGATGCTTAGATTCACACATCGACAATGATAAGACCCATGGCCCATGCCAAAGACCAGCGCAAGGATGGAGAAAAGATAGTGAAATCACTGATGTGTTTTGTTCTGACCAAAACGCTTACACCTCATTGTTCATCAATAGTGACATGATAGTTGTCACTTTTCCGCAAGAAGGCAAATTTCTTACAGATTTCTGTAATATCAACCTCACTTTTTGACAATTATCAGTTTCACTCAGAGTTTATTCAAATTCAAAATTCCAATTTTCCAGATTCCCAGTATTTTCCTTGTGTGTTAGTATATTGTACATGATGGATGTAGACCACCTCCTTGACATTCTTCGAAAATTTCATGTGGCTACGAAAATGCGCAGGTAGGCACAATGCAGCGAATCGAAATGTTACTCTCAATTCAGGTGAAATGAATAATAATGGAGATGAAAATATTGATAGGTTTATCTGATTTTATAGAAATGATAATGCTTTATAATGGTCTAGAGCCAATATTCATATTATCTCGTCTGATCGGCAATGGGAGTACGTTACCAATCATTTATAGCGCCATCTATCGACATCGGTTTGAGAGTGCGTGATATGAAATTAATATCGGAATTTCTATATCGATGTATTTTCAGAACACTATGTGAACAATATTGCTCACATGATATAGGGAATCAGATATCAGCCAATATAATATGATATCATTTTTTGAATATGGCTGGAAAACTATTGAATTGATATGGAATTGAACTTGAGAATCCAATATTTTTTGTGTCTTCTATGACCGATATAAGATATATATTGAATTGCCGTTATTGATATTCATCTTTGAAACAATATGAATTCCATGTCTGTCGCATGATATGGTTAAAACGATATCAATCAATTTGGGTGAATATGATGTTTTGAATATTCTGGAAACAATATTAAAAAATGAGCCGTCGAACTCTAATATACAATATTGAAATGATATTGATCAATTTAGGTGGATTCGATGTTCCAGATATTGTTAAAACAATATTCATCCAATTTGCCGTCGAACTAGATTACACAATATTGCATAACCGCTTCAGAATCGACATGAGAAGAAGGTTTCAATTGCGATATTGCTTGATGATATCAATCAATAAAGTTGTATTCAATGTTCCAAATATTGTTGAGACAATATTCTACCAATGTGCCGTCGAACTCGAACATACAATATTTTATAACCGCTTCAGAATTGACAAGGGGAGAATGTTGAAATTAATTGGTTATAAATGGAAGAAACAAAGTGTATACGATATCTTCCGCATGATATAAATGAAATGATATCAATCAAGATAGGTGAATATGATGTTTCAAATATTGTTGAAACAATATTCAACCAATATGCCGTCAAACTTGAATATACAATATTGCATAACCGGTTCAGAATCGACATGGGAAGAATGTTCAAATTGTGATATTGGCTATGATTGTTGAAAACAATATGAATACGATGTTGTTATATCGACATTAATTTGTGAAACAATACTATATAAAATTTATAGATATGTTTTTCAACACATTGATAACGGATTTTACAACCAATTTTGCTCCAATTTTGTAGCTGACAATCCATATTCAGCTCAGGTTGAACCAATATTCCAACAATGTTATCATTCTAATATTGTATGTCCAATATACTATCATATTGGACCTATATTATTTTCCATATGTACGATATATCTATATCGACCCAATATGGAATGAGGTTTCAGCCAAAATGATGTGTTTCCTGGGAAGTGCGAAAAGACTAAGAATTTCTCTAAATTCCTCCAGAACCCATGTAGAAGAGAATATTGAACTTGTAATAACAATCCAGATCATTCAGAGAAATCACAGGGAGTTGTCATGTTTGGATTTCGTCAACCAGCGGCGTAGTAAGGGTCATAGGTCGCAACATGTTGCTTCAAAATTTCTTCCAGGCAGATGGATCATCAAATAAGAAAGTGACATCAGTAAGGACTATCAATACCCAATCTGAAAGTAATAATATTTTGCATGCCTAAATGTACAGGTTCCGGTGATATTTGCGAAAAACTCAAGACATGTCTTAAGATAAATTGGGTAGAGGTATAGTTTGCTGCGTACCATAACCACATGATACTAATATAATATACGAGATTTCGATATTACTTTTCAACCTGTGGAATATTTCGAAATGTCGAATTTGAAACATTTTGTGGGCGAGTCAGAACTGAATCGACAAACTTGAGGTTGATAGTCATAAGCCATATCAAATTTGTGAGAACCATAAAATTATCGAAACAATAGTAATAGAAGTTTCTCGAACTGATTATGACTCACACGTACAAAGCTCTCGATCATATCAACATTCAAAAATGTTCAGGAGGTTGAAAAATGTTGTGATTCCTCGTAAAAGTTCAGCATTGAGCGGTTATGACACGCACCGAATTGGGTCTCAACCTCAAGACATATCTTAAGTTTTTTGCAAATATCTTAGAAACCTCTGTACTCAGGCATGCATGATGTACTTACTTTTAGGTTAGGTATTGATGAGACTCACTGATGTCATACTTCAATTTGACGATTCATCTCTCTGAGGAAAAATATTAAGATGGGGTTTACCCTCTGAAAAAGGTCAAACTTTATCTGAGGTGTAAAGGGGGAAGTAAAAATCCTGTCCGGAGGAGGCGGGGCCCGATAACGAAGAAAGTCGTCTAGTGTCTCACTCCAACTCATTCTAGCGTGAAATATTTCAACATTTATAGTAGAAGCGGCCTTGAGTGTTACCCCTAGGCATCTGCGGTCGTCTGAACTGAATTCTCCGAATAAGTCCCACAGGCACAGCGTACAAGTTGTGCTTTAGGCAATACTAGTGTAGAGGAGAACGAGGCAAAATCCTCTTCCTTACAGACTTTTTTTTTTCGGAGTAGAAAGATAGAGGACCTTCACCACCTTGAATATATATGATTATTACATAATATTCCAGCTTGAATACTTTTTTCTATGGTACCGAAAAAGTTATAGGCGACCAAACTCGAAAATTTAAGAAAAAAATAACTTTGCGCGTAAATATATAAACCTTTGTAACTTCGCAATTATAGCACTTATATCATTAAGCATATTCTGGAGATTCGATTCATATATAATATGTTTGGAAATTGAATTATTTTTCGATCCAAAATGTATCATTTTGTACAGAATTCGCGAAAAAAATTTTAGTTCACGATATGAATTTCGATTTTTATGATATCTTTCGATAGATTGAAATGTGAGCAACGAATTGTTTCCTATGAACTTTTCGCACGTTTCAAAAATGAACTTTGTAGAAGCATTTATTGTCTAATACGTAAGAGGCCATCCGAGCGCACGAGTGAGAACGATACAGCGGCGTTTACGTGCTCTAGACAAGAACAAACAGTAAAGATTCGGGGAGGATAACTGTATCATTTGGGAATGGAGAAAGGAGCGTTCTTGGTTGAATATGTAGGTAAATAACTTCGGTTCATAAATAATATGGTCCCAAAATAATTCACTTCAAAGGCAACGAAGTGAAAATGGTGAAGAAAAAATACCAAGAAGATATTGGGAGATGCTAGAATTTTCCAAACATGAGTCCCCAAAAAAATTGATCAACATTATACAGCTGGACAAACTATAGTATATCAATATGGTATATTTATGATAAAAAACTTTTTCAGAGTCTTTGAGAGGAATGTGTGATAAATTTTAGTTAGATTCAATGTTTTATATTGAAATTGACATTCTTAGCGAGCAAATATGTAAATTTATCGATATAAATCTATAATATTCATCATATCTGTGGATGGAGCTCTTGATATTATTTCATCTTCGTTCCGCACTCATGCACCAGTATCTATCGCACTCTGTCTCACTCACTGTGCATGACCTATCTAAAGTTGCACGTTGTCATTCAAAGCGCTATAAAAAGTTTATTCTTGAAACGTGCGAAAAGTTTATTCGAAACAAATCGTTCGTTACACTTCAATCTATCTATAGATGGAAAAAAAAATTGAAATTCAGATCGTGAAAAAGAAAGTTATTATGAATTAAATAGGTGTTAATGCTAAATTACTCATGTAATGCGTGACAAAAAATTCATTTTCACATATAAAAAACTCAATTTTGCCAGTTTATATACCATGGATCGAATCTTCATAATATCCTCAACAAAATGATGAGAAGTAGAGGCATCTAAGTTATGTAGTCTCCAAGTTACAAAGGTTCATACATTTACATGCGAAGTAGATTTTTTTTTGTAATTTTTGAGTTTGTTCGTTTATAACTTTTTTCGGTACCATAGAAAAAAGTAGTCAATTGTTTCTAGATAGAATAGTGAGGGTCTGATATCTTTCTACTTCCAAATTTTTTTTTGATTACTTTCACCTTGTGTCCCGCTACACTAATAACTATGAGGAGGACATGTTTTCACGTAAAAATCACCTTGCTTGTTTCATCCCCTTTGCCTTCACTGATGCCAGCCGCCAGCCCCTCAAAAATGTTAAATGACATTGTAGGGGTGAGAAGTTTTCAAAAGAATATACCCGGTATACCCTATATGAGCATAAATTAGTGGTATGTATAAACTCAACTGCAAAAATATAATTCGAAAGTACGAATCTGAATAATAGAAAGGCAGCAAAAACAGTTCAAGATAGTGAAAAACCGAAAGGGAATTCTTTAAAAAAAAACTGCTATGCGAATGGCTTGCACTCACCTATACATTGATTTATTGATTGAAGACAAATGCAAATTGTAACATGTCAAGTTTATTACAACATTGGACAGGCCTAGGTATGGCAACACTGTTCGCCGTTCTGTCTGTCAGTTAGCAGAAGAGAG